TTTTTATTTTTTTTTCTTAAAGGTAGCAAAAAAAAAAAAAAAAAAAAAAAAATTTCGTTAAATTTCATTAGTTTCGTTAAGTTTGTTTTTAGATTTCGGGGGGATCGTTTAATTTTTTTTTTTTATGATGAATTTAATTTTGCTGTTTCGTGATTTCTTCTCGAACAAGTTACTGCGAGTTTTTATTTTTTTTATTTTTAGGTACCATGGAGCTTTCGGCTGAGACAATGGAAGCTCTGAACCGAGCAATGTGTCAACAAATCAAAGAAGCGAATCAAGCCATAACAACTCAGCTCACCCAACAAATCGAACAACTCAACGACAAGTTCGAGACCAAGATGAGTGATCTGCTCAAAGATCTCAGTGCAAGTGGAGAAGAGTCGTCTCAAACCCGAACTCCTTCGGAAGCAATGCGACTAGCAAAGGGTAAAGGGCACATAGGATCTTCCCGGAAACTTCCACGCCACCCAACACCTTCCGAAGCCAGGACTAAAGCTAAGTCTAACCGAAGCCAAATTGGGGGCAGAGAGACTACGTTTAATCCGAGGAGGAATCCTATTGGTGCAGAACGAGATGGCCCAAGGGTAGATCGTCAGCACCGCCGAGAGGAATATATTGCTGGGCATCGAGTTACCCTGGAATCAGACCCAGAATACTATGAGGAGGACGAAGCTTCTGATCATAGCAGAGAAACTGTGAGACGAGATCGAGGCCGAGGACATGGTCGAGATTATGATCCTCTACGACAGCAGCTGCGTCATATCAAAATCCAGTATCCTCCTTTCCATGGAACTAATGATCCCGAAGCTTATTTAGATTGGGAAAGGAAGATGGAGTCTAATTTTCTGGTCCAAGGAACTTACGAGCTCAACAAGGTGAAGATTGCAGTTTCGGAATTTCATGGGTATGCGCTTCTATGGTGGGAGCAGTTGGGAGTCACCAGAAATCGCTTGAGGGAACTTCCGATTACTACTTGGGAGCAGCTCGTTATACAGATGAGGAAGCGGTTCGTTCCGGCCCATCATCAGCGCGAGATACTCAACAAGCTTAGGCGCCTTGTCCAAGGTACGAAGTCTGTTCGAGATTATTATCAAGAATTGGAAACTTTGCTCATTCGTGCAGATTTACGAGAAGGCGAAGAGATGGTAATGTCGAGATTCCTTGGAGGACTTAACCGAGAAATTCAAGACAAGGTGGAACTTCAGGATTTCGCAGATATACAAGACATGGTGCATAAGGCTGAATTGGTGGAATCTCAAGTCAAGAGGCGAAATTTCAAGTCCACATTCACGCCTAGTGTGCCTAAGCCTAAGGAGATCAGCAAGCCAGCTTACTCCAGAGACATCAAACCGCCATCTACTGGAGTTAAAGAAAAAGCTAAAGCTGAGTTCAAGCCTCGAGGTGGCACTTCTATCAGCAATGTGAGGTGTTTCAAATGTCAAGGAATGGGACATTACTCTCGAGATTGCCCAAACAAGAAGGTTTTCTTGTTACATGAGGGAGGAGAGATAGTTCCTCAAGAGGATTCAGAGGCCGAATATGAATTAGAGGAAGAGGAAGAAGCTGCTGCTGTGGGTGAGATGCTGGTTGCCAGAAGGACTTTGAGTGTTCAGAGTCAACCTGAAGAGACTTGTCAGCGAGAGAACCTGTTCCATACGAGATGCTTCATTCAAGGAAAAGTTTGTAGCCTGATCATAGATGGAGGAAGTTGTACTAATGCTGCAAGCGAGAGATGGTTAAGAAGCTCCAGCTCAAGACTATTCCTCATCCAAGGCCGTATAAGCTTCAGTGGTTGAATGACAGTGGAGCCTTGACCGTATCTCAGCAAGTGATGGTTTCTCTATCCATTGGGAAGTATGAAGATGAGATTCTATGTGACGTCATTCCCATGGGTTCGAGTCATGTGTTGCTAGGCAGACCGTGGCAATCAGATCGTAGGGTGATACACGACGGTTACACCAACAAGCACTCATTCGAGTTCAAAGGTCGCAAAATTACCCTCCTACCTCTCACGCCTACCGAGATTTATCAAGATCAAGTTCAAATGAAGCTCAAGGAGAAGGAGAAAGTCGCCAACAGCCTCTACATAAACCACAGTGAATTTTCTAAACTCTTTGATCCTGAAATGACTACTTTTATGTTTGTGTACAAGGAATCCCTTGTTAGTACTAACCCTTCACAGGAGCTTCCTAGTGCTATGTTTGAGATTTTGCAGGAATACAAGGACGTTTTTCCAGTAGAAATTCCACCAGGGCTACCTCCAATTCGCGGGATAGAGCATCAGATTGACTTGGTACCAGGATCAGCCTTACCTAACAGGCCAGCATACCGAACCAACCCTGTAGAGACTAAGGAGCTGCAAAAGCAAGTGGAGGAGCTGATGAGCAAAGGCCATATCCGAGAAAGCATGAGTCCATGTGCGGTTCCAGTTCTGTTGGTGCCAAAGAAGGATGGTTCCTGGAGGATGTGTGTAGACTGCCGAGCTATCAACAACATCACTGTGAAGTATCGGCATCCGATCCCAAGGCTAGATGATATGCTGGATGAGCTCTGTGGGTCGACAATCTTCTCTAAGATCGACCTGAAGAGTGGATATCATCAGATCAGAATGAAGGAAGGGGATGAGTGGAAAACGGCATTCAAGACAAAGCAGGGACTCTACGAGTGGCTAGTTATGCCGTTTGGCCTCACCAATGCTCCCAGCACCTTCATGAGACTAATGAACCATGCCCTGAGACCATTCATTGGCGTGTTCGTAGTGGTTTATTTCGACGATATCTCATCTACAGTAAAGGTTTGGAAGAACATATAGATCACATCAGATCGGTTCTTGATGTTCTTCGCTCTCAATCTCTCTTTGCTAATTTATCTAAATGTTCATTCTGCACTAACGAGATTGTTTTCTTAGGCTTTGTAGTAAGTGCAGGAGGAGTTAAAGTAGATGAAGAGAAGATAAAAGCTATCAAGGAGTGGCCAACCCCCAAGAATATTGGAGAAGTCTGAAGTTTCCATGGCTTAGCAGGATTCTACAGGCGTTTTGTTCGTGATTTCAGCACCATAGCCGCGCCTTTAACCGAAGTAATCAAGAAAGACGTGGGGTTCAAGTGGGGAGAGGCGCAAGAACAGGCTTTTACAGCCCTTAAAGAGAAGCTTATCAATTCGCCCTTACTAGTACTTCCTGATTTTACTAAGACTTTTGAGATTGAATGCGATGCTTCTGGTGTAGGTATTGGAGCAGTTCTTATGCAGGATAAGAAGCCAGTCGCTTACTTCAGCGAAAAGTTAGGAGGATCAACGCTGAATTATCCAACGTATGACAAGGAGTTATACGCATTGGTTCGAGCTCTCCAGACGTGGCAGCATTACTTATGGCCTAAGGAATTCGTCATTCATACCGATCACGAGTCTCTAAAGCACCTCAAGGGTCAGCAGAAACTTAACAAAAGATATGGGCGATGGATGGAGTTCATTGAGACATTCCCCTACATTGTTAAGTACAAAAAAGGTAAAGATAATGTGGTCGCAGACGCATTATCCCGGAGGTACACTCTTATTTCGACTTTAACATCAAAGTTGATTGGATTTGAGCATATTATAGATCTTTATGAATCGGACACTGACTTTTCTGAGAGCTATGCCAAATGTCATAAGTTTGCTTGTGAGAAATTTTATAGACAGGATGGATACTTGTTCTTCAGTAACCGATTGTGCATACCACGAGGATCCATTCGAGAGTTACTGGTACGAGAAGCTCATGGAGGTGGATTAGCTGGACATTTCGGCGTCACAAAGACACTTCTTGGGCTACAAGAGCACTTCTACTGGCCGAACATGAAGAAGGACGTTGAGAAAATCTGCTCTAGATGTGTCGTATGTAAGATGGCTAAGAGTAAAGTTCAGCCTCACGGTTTGTATACTCCTTTGCCTATTCCTTCTCAACCTTGGACTAATATCTCTATGGATTTTGTAGTTGGCTTACCTCGCACCAGAAATGGTAGAGATTCTATTTTTGTAGTTGTTGACAGGTTTAGCAAGATGGCTCACTTCATCGCTAGCCACAAGACAGATGATGCTGTGAATGTAGCTAACTTGTTTTTCAGGGAAGTAGTGCGACTGCATGGAATGCCACAGGTTATCGTTTCAGATCGAGACACGAAGTTCTTAGGACACTTTTGGAGAACGCTTTGGGCTAAGCTGGGAACAAAGCTCTCATTCTCAACTACGTGTCATCCTCAGACCGATGGACAGACCGAGGTGGTGAATAGAACGTTGTCCACACTTCTAAGGACTTTGGTGAAAAGTAACCTCAAGACATGGGAAGAGTGCCTGCCTCATGTCGAGTTTGCTTACAATCACGCTAAGCATTCTGCTACTCTCTTTTCTCCTTTTGAAATTGTATATGGGTTTAATCCACAATCACCTCTAGACTTGATCCCTTTGCCTTTAAGTGGAAAATGCAGTTTGAATGGCAAGGAGAAAGCTGAACAGGTCAGAAGAATTCATGCTAAGGCTAAGGAGAATATCGAGAAAAAGACAAAGCAGTATGAGAAGCATGCCAACAAAGGACGAAAGGAACTGATTTTCGAAGAAGGAGATCTGGTGTGGATCCATCTGAGGAAGGAGCGATTTCCAGCTGAGCGAAAGAACAAGCTAATGCCCAGAGTTGATGGACCATTCGCAGTCATCAAAAGAATCAACAACAACGCCTATCAGATTGATCTTCAAGGTAAGTATGATGTTTCTGATACGTTCAATGTTTCTGACTTGCTTCCTTTTGTTGCAGATTCAGATTTGAGGGCAAATCCTTTTCAAGAGAGAGAGGATGATATGATCGTGACCAGCTCAGAGGAGGAGGAACCAGAGGTAGCTGGCAGGATCACTCGTTCCAGAGCTAGAGAGATGGCTAAGGAGGCTCACGCACTCATTGCCACAGAGGACAGCGATCACCAGGAGGCTGGAGCTCACATCTTCAACATCTCTATCTTGAAGAATGAAGAACCCAGTAACAATGACTAGGTAACTTAGGTGATGATTCTGTACTCTTTTCCTTAGTGAGGATTTTGGAAGGCAAGGAGGTTCTTCTCCAAGGTTTTTAACGAGGCAGAAATCATTGCTACGTCGAGTTACTTAGAAGTTGTTACTAATGGGTAATAATGTGCAAAGTCACAATGACTTGTGCACTTAGTATTTTGGCGCACCACTTAGGAATTTAGGGACGCCTCGCTGTTTTATTTTTTTAAATCAAACTTCTTGTTGTTTTTATTTCAGACTTCATGTAGTTTGTTTCTTAGGGCTGCGATTTCTCTCTAAGTCTATTTAAGAGAGAAAATCGCCTATGTCATATTCAGTGAAGAATTTTGATCAAACTTTTAACGTGTTCTTCTCTCTTTTTGATTTCTGAGAACTAAAAACTCTGAAATTCGAATCTCTTAAAAACTAATCTGTTTACAAGAGATTCTTCTATCTTATCATCTCACCAACATCACCATCGATCCGCCGAGCCACCATCATCTCCATCGATCCGCCACACCACCATCGCACATCCACGATTCGATCTGCCGAGTCTCCACCATCATCCCTCATCGTCGCGAGCCATCCTCGTATCACTACCACTATCCTTTTCGCTTCATCGTTTCAGACTATCCACCATATCGCCGCATCCATTGTTCTTTGCTTCAGAGTAGATCACCTTGGATCGTATCACTTTATGTCGCACTTTTGGGAGAGTTCTTTACAAGAAAGTAGGAGTATTTTTTCCATCTTACTTTAAATTTTGTTTAATATAATAAAATTGAGCATTTGCACCCGAAATATAAAAAAAACAATTAACATTTTTTATCCACGAAATTAACTTTATAATGGAAAGATATGTAGGGTTTAAATGTTCAAAACTATTAAAATGCTGATTCATGCATACTCAGGAAAATAAAGGGTATATAATTTTCTTTTTCCCCCTATAATCAGAGAACAATAGAGAGGTTTGGTGATTTAAATTGAAAAGTAATTTTTTTTTTTGGTCGAAATTGAAAAGTAATTAAGAGATATAATTCACAGGCTAAAACCATTTCTAATCAGATCATAATTTTCTCATTTCTTCTCAAACGGCATTCTTCTTTTATCTCTCCGATATTTCAAGCCGGATTCCAATTTTCTCAAGGGAATCTGATCGGAAGATCCTGAAACATATTCGGCGGCGAAGTGACCTCGCCGTTTTCTCTTCTCCGGTTATGTGTTCCGCTGGTGAATCATCACCGGAACAGCAGATCTAGCCACACATTCCGACTCGATTTTTTTACTTTTTTGAGTGACGACGAATCAGCGGGATCGAGAAACTTCGATTATCTGGAGAGTTGTTAGATTAGTGAACTTTGATCGGAAGATCGAAAGTGAAGAGGGAGGAATTTAGAAGGGCGAGGCATTTCCGTTGTGGTGATTTTGATTGCTTTTTTTAATTAAGAGATCTGATTTGGATCTGTCTCCTTCGTGCTTCAGTAAGCTGTGTAATTTTGTTGTGAAAAATGGCGAGGAAAGGGTCGAGTATCAGATTATCTAGCTCGAGAATATCTTCCCTTTTGCTCTCCATGTTCGCAACTTTCGCTTCGTTCTATGTAGCAGGCCGGTTAGTTCCTAATCTCCATTTCTTAATCGGTGACAAAATACTTGTGATTCTTATTTGTTTGCAAACGGATTTTTGATTGTGTTCTCTCGTTTTTGTGTTTGAGATAGGTTATGGCAAGAATCCCAAACTAGGGTTCATCTTATCAAGGAGCTCGACAGGGTAACTGGACAGGTTAGTAGCATTTGATTCTATCCTTAAGTTTTACCCCAAATTGACCCCAAGGGAGTTAATTTGATCATACATAGTGTTTATGCGTGTAACTGATGAGATTCTTTATACAAAATCTTGCCAGAGAATTATTTCGTTGGTTATCACTGTCCTTGAATCTTTGTCTTGCTTCGGCGTAATGTACCTGAATACTTATTATGCTGTTCTTTTTTGGGCTCTTTCAGGGAAAATCTGCAATATCAGTGGATGATACTTTGAAGATTATAGCTTGTAGGTAAAAGACGGTGCTTTTGTACGATTTGATTTCCTTTGAATGTCTTAGTCTCCATGGACTGTTGAACACAGGCTTTTCTTTCTAGGGAACAGAAGAAGACACTAGCAGCTCTTGAGATGGAACTAAGTGCAGCCAGGCAAGAAGGTTTTGTTCCAAAAATTCCCAAACATTCTGATGGAACCGAAACCAAGAAGAGACCACTTGTGGTGATTGGTATAATGACAACTTTGGGTAACAAGAAGAAAAGGGATGCAGTCCGGCAAGCATGGATGGGGACAGGTAATTTTTCTCCCTGTCCATGTTATTTGTAGATGTTGTGTTGCAAATTCTATCGAGTGGTTTGGTGAGATTGCATAGGTTATGTTGCAATCTTACCGAATACACTTATTATTGGGAATTTGACAGGTCGTTTTGTTGCAGGTGCATCACTAAAAAAAATGGAAACTGAAAAGGGTGTAATTGCACGATTTGTTATTGGAAGAAGGTTTGGATTCGGCTTATCACTCTTTGATTTATCTATGCCTATAACCTTATTTTGAAACGCTATCTATGTGTTATGTAGCGCAAATAAAGGGGACAGCATGGACAAGAGCATTGACGCTGAAAATAGTCGAACCGATGACTTCATTATCCTTGTATGTGATTTCTGATTCGTGCTAGATTATTACCATTCATTTTTTAGCTCACCTGTGTTAGTCTGAGGAGCTTGGCCATTTAATGTTATGTAGAATGATGTCGTTGAGGCACCTGAGGAAGCTTCTAAGAAGGTAAAACTGTTCTTTGCCTATGCTGCTGATAAGTGGGATGCACAGTTTTATGCAAAGGCCAACGACAATATCTACGTAAATATTGGTAAGTTAGTCACAGAAAGAGTGTTTAACAGCCGAAAATTTTAGTTCTTTGCGTTCCTTGGGTTGATTTTGTAAATATGGAAATGTAGTTGATTGTGAATGTCAGTCTTCTTGGGTTTCCAGCATCCTTATCTTAGTTGAATCTATGATGAGTATTCAAAACTTTTACACTATCCAAATGGTCGCCAAATCTCTTTGTATGGTGATCAAATTAATTTGAGAAGCTCACAGTTAGAACTATATTTAGGCTGTGAAATAGAGTGTTTGATGGACTTGCGCATTTAAACTTGCCATTTTAAACGTTTTTTAATCCTTTCTTTCTTTGGTGAAAGTTCTAAGATCAAAGAGTTTCCATGTAAGCATATTCTGACAGTACAGTGGCTATCAATGTTATTGATCCAATGCAGATGCTCTCGGAAGTACACTTGCAGCACATCTGGAGAACCCACGGGCCTACATCGGTTGCATGAAATCAGGCGAAGTTTTCTCAGAACCGTGAGTTTGAGCTTAGCAACCAAACACCACTAGGACCAAAAACGATCTTATGAAATATTATCAGTCTTAACTTAACTTTGGTTTCTCTGACAGGAACCACAAATGGTATGAACCAGAGTGGTGGAAATTCGGTGACAAGAAAGCGTAAGTTAAACAATCAGATCAATGCAAGATCTGAGAATAATAACTCTCTTACTGCCAATCCATTAGATTCATTTCTTATATGTGTGACAAAGAATCACCGCTTCTTGTTTTATGTATCTCACAGATATTTCCGCCATGCTTATGGGGAGATGTACGTTATAACGCATGCGTTGGCTAGATTTGTATCCATTAACAGGTAAGTTTCGACTCTTAAAAGTACTCGCAGCCTTTATATTCTTACACTGAGAAAATATAAAACTGAAACGAGTTTGTGTATTGTTTCGTTTCGTATGATGGTGATGGTGACAGAGAAATTCTTCATGCGTATGCTCATGACGACGTGAGCACGGGTTCATGGTTCGTGGGTCTTGATGTTAAACATGTAGATGAAGGAAAGTTATGCTGTTCCGCTTGGTCCTCTGGTACCTTCTACTCCACATTTACTTCATTTGATTTCATTATTTTTCAGTGTGTTGGATACATATTGCTTGACATATATCTCTAATTTCTTTCCATATGTTTCAGAAGCTATATGCGCAGGAGTATAGTAGTAGGACCAAATTTATAGAGACGTATCCAAGTGTGAGGCTTTTTGCTGGTCATTGAGAAGCGCACATAAAAGATAGTATTTGTCTGCATATTGTTAATTTCTCGATGTATCTTAAACTCACCATTTTATAACATTTTACCCTTTGTGGGCAATTTTACTTATAACAAAAATCTCTAATTAGTAACTACTAGTTGCTTACAAATGGAAGCAGTGAAATAGATAATTTTCACTGAAATAGTTTTCTCCCCCAAAACAAATTCATTCATTTACATAAGTAAAAACCCAATATCTATACTTTCTCAATCTTTATGTCATCAAGTTTGATGTTTACTTATAAGAACATATATTTGAAAGCCACCAAATCAAGAAGAACCATGGAGCAAATGCGCCAAAGCTTTCTCGGTGTCGTTCTCAAACATGAAGAGAGCGTCTGCAACAGCGTTTGTCGGAAATCCCATCTCCCGTATCGCCGAGAACCCATTTGCAAATTCCTGAACCTGAAAAAGCGTAAAAATCTGTAAAATTAGACTTCTCCTTTGGATAAAATGAAGAAGGCTGCAACACAAAGACCAACTAATTTCAACTCACAGTTGATCATCATTGTTAGCTATTTAGCTTAATACATGAATAGAAATGTATACCAAGGAAATAAGATAAAAGCACCTTTGTGGGATTATCACCATAGTTTGCAACTGCGATGTTGACAGCTTCTCTGTTTAGTCCAGACCCAGCATATTTCATCACAATAGGATCTACACCCTGTGCATTGTAATCCTTCATTAACGCACAATCTAATCTTGACCCAATTCCCATCTAGTAGTATACAAAACAAAAATCTGCACTTGTTCATAGATGGATCCACACTTGTTCTTCCTAGAGACTATACTTTGGTGCCATTAATCATCTCTCGGCCAAACTCTGAGAAGCTTCCCAAAGAAGAGTTTTTTTTTATAAGAATTGAAGGAAGACTTACCATAGAAGGTGCCGGTTCTGGGAATTTAGCCTGCGGAGGATTCTCGGTTCCGAATTTGCTCCAGTCTGGATTTTCTTTCTCTGCCTCCGCAAGGACTTTCTTCTCTAGACTGAAATCGAACTGAAAACTGCTCCGAGGAATATCTGCGACTCGAGGCAACAACTGAGGCTGAAACATTGCAAAACACAGGCCATGAGAAATCTCAGTCTTTGAGTGGTGAATATTCTGAACATGATCTTTCGTAATCTGAGCCTAAATTTTACTGAAGAAAAGTAGTATTTTTCCATTTCTTCTTCTCCAAATTATTCCAGGTTTAAGATCGGGTAGTGGAAAATTCGAACACGATCAATCTGAAACTAAATTCAATAGAGGAAAAAAAGGACTAAATCTCTCACCGGAGGAGTAATCCGATACTCTGGTTTCATAGTCACTTTGATTCCTAATCCAGCTACCAAAAAAAAACAAAATCAACGAGCATCAGCTACAAATCGTAGAAAGCAATTCGCGAAAAACCTAATCTAAATTCGCTAAGAAGTCGAAAACTCGAGATCAGAGCAGAACTTACATGAAGAAGAAGAAGGGAACGGAGAAGAGTTATGTTGAAAGGAAGAGTTTCTCTCCGGCGGAGGGAAAAAAAGTTGGCCGTGGCCGCTCTGTTGGCCGATCTTCGGGTATCCCGGAGGTCCGTACATCGAGTGGCTAGATGGTGGCGAAGGAGAAGCCGAGGCGGTTCCGTACATGGGACGAGCGTAGGGAGGTCCTGACTTGTTCCTGAAGTCGTAATCCATTTTTTTTTTCTCGAGTATAAGAATTTTGCAGAAAAGAGGAGAGGAATTGAAAATCAGCGACGAAGAAATCTCGAAGGCGATGAGATCTGTTTGGGTATGAGGATACGTGTATCCTCCTAACCCAGCTTTTACTAGTCAGTTTTATTTTTGGGAAAACGACATTTATCCCCCGCTAAACTTTCACATCGGCTCAAATCCACCTGAAGTTTGAAGGTCGACATATTTCGTTCTCAAAACAAAGTTCCCGACATATTGCTCCCGATATTAACATTTGTAATCATATTTCCCCATAATACCAAAGTTCTGAACATATTTTCCTCCGATCATTAATCGAATACGGTTTATTGTTTACCAAGGATTACTTAACCATTTTAAATCAAAATAAACCATATAATAACCCGATTAAAACCTGTAAATCGTAATTTGACCCCCTAACTAAACCATTTATTAACATTGACCTGAAAAACCCTAAATCGACGAAAAACCCCAAATCAACGTTAGAACCCTAGAATAAAAAAAACACAGTCGAAAAATCCAAGCTTCAGCCTTTCATTCGAAGGATATCTCACTAGTAGGTATGTTTAACTTCAGATTTTTGAATCATTTTGTATTTCAGAATCGATTTGGGGTTTTGGGAATTCTATTTTGATTTTCGGGAATTTGATGATTTTTGAGAATTTGAGTTCGATGTGTGTCAATCGTAATTCATGTGTGTCAATATTTTCATGTAGGTTTCAGCACTACAATGTCAGTAATGGAATGGCTTAATGTGCCTGGTTTCGCAGAGCCTATTCCACCAGATGTTGATTCTGATGGTGAAGACCGTCGTGAGCGTCATGAGTATGACATCGAGCAAGCCGTAATCCAGTTTGAAGACGAGCCTTCTATCAGACACAATGTCTATCCAGAGTCTGATGATGATGAAGAAAATGAAAGTGTGAGAGAAAGGAGGCGTTTTCCGATAAGAAGAGGTAATATAAACTTATTCAAAGGACAACTCTTCATGAATGCTATAGCGTTTAAGGAGGCTGTATTGAACCATGCTCTGCAAAATTGTCGGAATATATCGCAGTATAAGTATGATAAGACCAGGGTTGCTTTTGAATGCAAAGGTAAAGGTTGTTCATGGCGCATATATTGCTCAGTTCCGAAGGATAGTAATAGGTGGCAGGTGACTATCTTTAAATCGGTTCATACTTGTGTTCCGAATGTTCAGTGTGCTATGTTAAAAGTCCCTATCATTGCCCGTCTCTTTCTTGATAAAATTCGCAAAGAACAAGAGTACTTCATGCCAATGAAGATTGAACAACTGATTATGGAGAAGTGGAGGATATGTGTGACAAGAAATCAATGTCAGCATGGTAGGAACAAAGCATTGAGATGGATTGAGAAGGAGTATGCAGAGCAGTTCGCACGGCTGCATGATTATGCAGCTGAAATAGAGCATTCAAACCCTGGCTCTTCAGTGGAGGTTGACTGTATAACAAACGAGGTAGGAAGCCATGTTTTTCAAAGGTTTTATGAGTGTTTCGCTAATCTTAGGAGATCATGGAAAGAGAATTGTAGGCCTCTTATAGGAGTTGATGGCTGCTTTTTGAAGTCAGTTCAGAAGGGTGAGTTGTTTGTTGCTAATGGGAGAGATGCTGATAACAGAATTTATCCAATCGCTTGGGCTGTAGTGCAAAAGGAAAATACAAATAACTGGGCATGGTTCTTTCGTAAGATCAAGGTGGACTTAGGTCTTGGAGATGGGGATGGATATATTTTGGTGTCTGATCGTCAAAAGGTAATGTTGTGTTATTTATGTCTCGTTGTGTATTGTTTTTTCTTAGTTATGCTCATTTTTTTTGCTAATGATTTATGTAGGGTTTGCTTAGTGCTGTGAAGGAGGAGTTACCTCTGATAGAACATAGAATGTGTGTCAGACATATTTACATGAATGTAAAGTCTCGACATGGAAAGATGCCGGAGCTGAAGACAATGATTTGGCATCTTGCTTGGAGCTACAACTTGGCAGAGTACAAAGAAAATTTGAAGAAGATTGAGCTATACGATGAAGCAGTCTATGCTGATGTGATGAAAACAAAACCAGAGACTTGGTGCAGAGCATTCTACAAGCTTGGACCTTGTTGTGAGGATGTGGAAAACAACTCAGTAGAATCATTCAACAACTTCATAGGTAAGGTCTATAACTCATTTTTTTGGCTTATAACATTGCGCTAAGACTTGCAGTGGCTTTATAACTCTTTTTTTTTTGGTTTCTGATATTATTTTTTTTCAGGTAAAGCTAGAGACAAGGCGTTAGTGCCAATGTTGGAGACCATTGCTAGACTTGCAATGGTTCGTATAGCCAGAAGGGAAGCTAAAGCCGACGGTCATCAAGGCTTAACAACTCCATATGTGAGTGATTATCTGGCGGAGCAGAATGAGAAAGCTAAAGAATGCATTGTCCAACCTTCGACTAATAAGATGTTTTTAGCTATAGTCGATGGATGTTCTTACGGAGTCAACTTGGAGCATTGGACTTGTACTTGCAGAAAGTGGCAAATCACAGGTATTCCATGTGAGCATGCATATGGAGTGATGATTAAGAGAGGGCTTGAAACTCAAGACTATGTCTGCAAGTGGTTTAAGACAGAGATATGGAGGAAGCTTTATAGGAATGGTATTGTCCCAGTTAGAGGTGCCCGGTTTTGGCCAGTTGGAGAGGAGCCACCCATAGTTCAACCTGTGGTGCCAGACATGCCTGGAAGGAATAAGGTTACCAAGGCAGACAAAAAGAGGAAGAAAGGAGTAAATGAATCTCCAACAAAGAAAAAAGACAATTTAGTGAGGAGGGTGATGCATTGCAAAATTTGTGGAATTGCTAATCATAACTCACGATTCCACAATAAGAAGAAGAAACCATCTCAGGTTTGTATATTCTTCATTCTTTCTTGAAATCATTATTGTTCTGTCTTTGATTGGTTATGGACCACTTTTCTTTGACTTTGCAGGCTTTAGTTGAAGCATCGGCTTCATCTCAAGTAGAATCTTCACAAGGAGTTCTCAGCCAAGTTGATTAAAGCTTATGATTTGCGGCTGTTTGGACTTGTTTTAGTCTACTTGTAGGCTGTCTTTTGGACCATTATCTTAGTTGTTTTATGCAGGTTTTTTTGGACCAATTTGAGTATGTTGTTTTATGGCAGTTTTATGGCAGTTGTAATCTACTTTAAGGTTGTATTTGGATCAGTTTAATGAGGCAAACTGTTTGATTTCAACAACTTCGAAAACTTTCATGTTTCATTAAAAAAAAACCTGCAATGAAAGAGCATAAACAACACACAATGACACACAACATTCTCTTCAAACTACAATGAAGAGTCTTGACACTGACACACAACAGACACAAAGAAGGACTCAACCTATTACCTTACTACAAACTACAATGATCAAACATCCCAGAATGGTGAGAAACATCATTCTCTTCATCTCTGTTTTGGCTTCAACAAGCACTTCTTCCACTCTTTCACAGATCAGTTTCTCTATCTTTATATGAAGCTTCTCAACTTTCTCATCATCGGCCTCCATGGAAAGTGTTGTGATATTAACAATGACAGATAAAGAGATGGAAAAAGCATACCTTCTGTTCTACAGCAACAACACATCGGAAGTACCTCCGATAAGGATTTAAATCGGATTTTGACATTTTCGAAACTATTGCTTGCCCACACCAGCATTTTCTCGGGATTCCGAAAATTCCTCCTCTGCCACGACCAACCGATGTTCCAGTCGAACTTCCAGATGTGTTGCTCATCTTCCAACTCAAATCGCCTTTCAAAATCAAAGTGTTAAGTTCGAGTTCACGCAGAACAAAAAATTAGGGCTCATATAAAAATTTGGGAAATTTCCCGATTAGATCGCTACCGGGTCGGGTTGATATGGGTCAAAAATTCTTTTTGGGTTTGGTATTATTTTGGTCTGGTAATCGGTGTAATTAAATTCGGTGGTTTCGTATCGGTTTAAACTTTCAAACCATCGAAACCGATTACTATGGGGAAATATGATTACAAATGTTAATATCGGGAGCAATATGTCGGGAACTTTGTTTTGAGGACGAAATATGTCGATCTTCAAACTTCAGGTGGATCTGGGCCGATATGAAAGTTTAGTGGGGGATAAATGTCGTTTTCCCTTTATTTTTCATATCAAAACTTTTTTTGTTTTTCCCCATTTCTTCATAATCAAAATCTATCTAACTTTTTTTTTTCATATAACCATCTATTACATCAGATACTCCCTAGAATCCTCTCTGTCCAGCTCGGTATAATCTATATGGGTGAAAATTATTCCTCTAGCACGGACACCTTTTGCGAGACTATCTGCCCGGGAATTGTAATCTTTAAGAATATGAGATAATGTGAAGTCCGTAAAACTCTCACGAAGGATGCGGAAGTTTTCCAGCTCAGACATGAAAGATGGCCAATCCTCTGGAGATTCATTCATGGACATGAGGTCCGAAAAGTCGATATAGACGTGAACTGAATAGAATTGCCTGTCTCTCAAGCAGGTCATAGCCCACAAGTGACCCTCCATCTCGGCATAGAGAGCAGAAAGGCTTCGGCGACAACCCTGTTGACCGAAAATTTCTTTTCCCCCATCAAAATCTATCTAACTAGAATACGATATTTTAGTTCCTAATGGATCAAAATAATTTTATATAGATAAGAATTAAAAAATACCACAAATATTTTGATACATTATATTTCTGTTTTTATATAGTTTTTTTCTAAATTGTTTATCTATACTATTTGTTATTATTTTGTATTTTGTAAGACTTTTTAAAAAGTTATGAAAAATTTAAAAACTAAGATAATGATTTTCTAACAGAATTTTAAAAATATTTAAAAATTATGAACTCGACTATTACTCTTTCATTCTCTCCAGGTCCGGCCCAGAGCACATGTGAAGTGAAGTAGGCGAGAGCCTAAGACATATAATTTTTGGGGGCATATTTTGGTTAAATTTTTTTATAAAAATATAAATAAACAAAATTTGTAAATTTTTTTAAAAGATAATAATATTTGTAGTTTTTTTGGTAATGTTTATGGACTTTTCTCTAAAAAATATTGATTAAATATATATTTAAAATAATAATTATTTTATGATGGAATTTTGTTTAAGGAAAATAATAAATAAAACTTGATATGACATATTGAGACAGTTATAGTTGAGATTAAAACTAATAAAAAAATTATTTGCTGTCTACCATGTTACCAGTGATTGAATGAGCTAGTTTTGTTATTTGTTAAACTATGTATGGTTAAAAAACTCGGCTATAAGAGTTTAATGAATAATTATGTAATAAAAAATACGAAAAAGTCATATTTCAACAACAAAATAATGGTTTTATTATATTTTTATAGATTTAATAATTATTAATGGAGTTGAAATATTTTATAAAATTAAAATTGTTTTTCTTATTTTTTTATTTTAAAAAAAAAATTAAGAAGATAGTTTTAAAATTTTTGACTAAAGTATCTTAATTGATTGGTCCGGGGCACTGATTCTCTCAGCCGAAATCCATATAACTCTCCACATAGTGCATGTTATGAGTTGTGTCCTAACAAAATACAAGTTCAAAAGTTATTAAGCCCCTAAATCACCTTTTAAGTTGTTTTTTTTTTTTTTGTTTCCTTTCTATCTTCTCTTCTATAAAACAGTTTTGTATGTAGTGTTGTAGTTCCAAGAGTTTTTTTTTTTGGTGGTTCCAATAGTTAAAACAGAAACGTTCTCTCGAGTCAACGAATAAAACATGAAGTCGTCGAATATGTCTCTTTCCACTGATCTCATTGATTCCATATCGAGTTTGTGTCGTGTGTGTGTGGGGGTGGGGGTGGGTGGATTAAGGGAAAGATAATCTCGACAATTAGCATGAGCCATGTTACACTTACACTACACACTAACGTTAATAGTTGAACTTTCCTTTTTTCTAATTCCAACTGTTAAAAAACACGACTTAGGTAACAAACACACTAAAACTCAATTGTTTCTCAAAAAAAAAAAAAAAAAAAAAAACTCAATTGTTTCAAACTTGATAAAATTATTGTTGAAAATAAGACAAAAGTAACAAAAATTTGAAAAAGTTTCTACAGTTGCTTTCACCGCGATTATCTCTGGCAAACAAAAAAACAAAAACAGAGACAGAGTTGTTAGGCATCAAGTCAACAACTCGCCAAACCTAACATTAACCTAAAGCAACCCACTTTCGTTAAAATAAAAATTTAACCTATACTATCTATTAGTTAGCCCACAAAAGTCAATAATTGTAAACTTATTATATACACCTATCTTCATCTTCATCTTCATCTTCATCCATTATAACGTCACTTTACACTTAAACCAGTTTTTTTCTCCACACCAAAAAAAAAACAACAAACACTGAAAATGAAGAGCCTTATTGTAATCAAATGGGTTTTAATACTACTCATCGGAGTAATCTTCAACATCTGTTGCATAGAAGCAGATACAATCAAAGAAGATAAACACACTCTTCTTCAGTTCGTTAGCAACATCAATCACTCTCATTCACTCAATTGGTCACCAAATCTTTCTATATGTACTCAATGGACCGGTGTTACCTGCAACTCCGATCACTCCAACGTCGTCGCTCTCCATTTAGCAGCCACTGGTCTCCATGGGGATATCGAGCTAAGCATGATAGCCAGGTTAACTAATCTTCAGTTTCTCATTCTCAGCTCTAACAACATCTCTGGACATTTTCCTCCAAATTTCATAGCTTTGAAGAACTTGACCGAGCTGAAACTCGACTTCAACGAGTTTTCTGGTCCTTTGCCTTCTGAGTTCTCTTCTTGGGTTCATCTACGAGTTCTTGATCTTTCTAACAATTGGTTTGATGGTATAATTCCATCTTCGATTGAGAAGCTGGCCCGTTTAAACTCACTGAATCTTGCGTATAACAAGTTTTCTGGTGAGATTCCGAATCTGCATATTCCGGGTCTGAAGCTGCTCGACTTAACTCACAACAATCTGACAGGAACAGTACCACAGTCATTGCAGAGATTTCCACTTTCAGCATTTGTCGGAAACAATGTTTCCTCAAGAAAGCTGGTTCCTGTTCATTCATCAATAAGGAAACACCACAACCATGCAGTTCTTGGCATAGCATTAAGCGCATGTTTTGCGCTACTAGCTTTGCTCGCTATCTTACTGGTGATCATCCATAACAGAGAAGAGCAAAGAAGATCAACGAAGGACAAACCTAGCAAGAGGAGGAAAGATTCAGATCCAAACGTGGGTGAAGGAGATAACAAGATTGTGTTTTTCGAAGGGAAGAATCTTGTCTTCGACTTGGAGGACTTGTTGAGAGCTTCTGCAGAAGTTTTAGGGAAAGGACCGTTCGGGACAACCTACAAGGTTGATCTCGAGGACTCGGGGACGATCGTCGTGAAAAGGATCAAGGAAGTGTGTGTGCCTAAGCGAGAATTCGAGCAGCAAATCGAACACCTTGGCAACATCAAGCATGAGAATGTTGCCACTTTAAAAGGATACTTCTACTCTAAGGACGAGAAGCTTGTGGTTTATGATTACCACGAACATGGAAGTCTTTCAACATTACTACACGGTATGTTGGTAACTGAGTTAGTCTATGGTAGGACATTTCATTACCCTTACACTATCCCTACATATATCCTAACTAAGTTAGTTTCAGGTCAGAGATGTCTAACGAATCGGAAGCCTCTAGATTGGGAAACTAGACTGAATATGGTGTATGGAACAGCAAAAGGAGTAGCTCATATCCATTCACCAAGCGGAGGCAAACTAGTCCACGGGAACATAAAATCCACAAATGTTTTCCTCAACGCGAAAGGATATGGTTGCATCTCTGGAGCAGGAATGGCCACACTGATGCATTCGCTCCCTCGACATGCATTTGGTTACCGTGCACCAGAGATAACAGACACAAGAAAGGCGACTCAAGCGTCGGACGTGTATAGTTTCGGGGTTTTGATATTCGAGGTACTTACAGGAAAATCAGAGGTGGCTAACCTGGTGAGGTGGGTGAACTCGGTGGTTAGAGAGGAATGGACCGGAGAGGTGTTTGATGAAGAGCTTTTGAGGTGTACCCAAGTGGAGGAAGAGATGGTAGAGATGCTTCAGGTTGGTATGGTTTGCACGGCGAGATTGCCGGAAAAGAGACCAAGCATGATTGATGTAGTGAGAATGGTGGAAGAGATAAGACCGGAGAAGCTAGCCAGCGGATCCAGGTCAGAGGTTTCCACAGGCTCAACACCAATTGGAAGTCTATCAGGATCGCCGTATATACTTTGAGAAAGATTATTCATCTTTCCTTTTATGTATTTTGACCATTCAGAAAAAGGGTTATAATATTTCAGTTCAGTCTATAAAAAGGCATAACCAAAAAAAAGGTTTAGTGAATGACGTTACTGATCAGTCGCTTTCTAGCAAGACCAGAAAAGGAACTCAATTCATACATAATAAAATACACTTCTTCATATATAAAAAAAATACATAGTTCTTTCCACGGAAGAGCAGAATACAATAAACAACATACCGCCCTTATTTCAGCTTTTCGTAGCCAACAGGAAAGAATCCATTCATATTCGCAACGGGCTTGCTCCTCTCCAAAGTTATGAACAGCGAGGAAAATTAAGATGTCACTTCCACTTAAATCTGGTCTTGATACCCCCTGAAAAGGTGTAGTAGTGCTTAATGAGCCAAGAAAACAAGCGCAGACTTAGATAGATTCAAGAAGTGTTTGTTTAGAGTTTTATTCATTCAAACCTTCAGTTTCTTCAAATGAGACTTCCTTTACTAATGATGCAGAAGCATTGTACTCAAATCTGGGATGAACAGAAGGGGAAACCATTATCAGTGTGAAACACAAACTGCACATACAACCAATACCTAAGTTTTACTAAATGAGACTTATACAGCATGTCATTTTTTTCACAGACCACTATCGTGATTGCCATTTGAAAAAAAGTTTCTATCAGAACTAGAATCAATTTTTTTTTTTTTAAATTACACTAGTGTATTCAGTTCTAATCATTTGTATTTTGTAGTGCTAAGTAGTTATCCCACAAAAGTCTTAATTCCTAATGTTGTTCCACATACATAGATATGGCTAATAAGTATATGTGGATCCTCTCCCCTGGTGTCATCAGTGACATCCAATTCATGTAAGAAACAAAACACGCTACGTTTCAGTGACTCTAAAGACCCACATCAGTTCTGAGAAAAGACAAGTGCCGTAGTTCCAATGTATCAGGAAATGAGATGAATATAAACAAGTCTCATGTCCATGGTATTAGCATTTAGTAGTCAAAGAGGAGCCAAAGAAATGTACCTGTTAGAGAGAAGCACTTCAAGTTCATAGTCAGATGCACTTTTAGTCACATCTACCATGACCTGAACAAGTTCAGTCTTTCGAGTGCTGGCCATGAATAGATCATATTCCGTGGGAATAATGATGGCGAAGAAGTTATCGCTCAATTTGCTTAAACACATCTTTTCTACTGCTGCCAGGCCTATTCTCCTGGTCATAGCCTCAGTCTCGGGATCGATTAGATAGATAGCAAAGTCAGTGAGGATAAAAATACGCCTTTTCATCTTCCCCGAGCCAGTGAACTTTAAAACTTTATCAGCGAAGAGAATCGACGTGTCACCTACACACAATCAACATCAAAGCTTATTGAGCATCAACACAAAGCGACATTGCAACTTTATCTCTCAACCACAAAAACAGATGTGGAAACATGCAATGACAGAGAGCAATGAGAAGCTAAATACAGAAACAAGCGATTCCAAAAGATCACAAAATCAGTACGTTCTTCAATTAACAACAACTCTCAAACTTTGGATGAGATCAAGTAATTTTGTATACACTGCTACATGCATGATACATCGATTGATCATTGATAAGCAAAATGCTGAATCAGAAAATTTCAAAAATTTCAATACCAATGTCGCCAATTAGCTCTAAAACTAGATCCGATAACGAAACATATCGACAGAATTAGTACGAATTCGAAGTTATGACGAATCAAAAACCCAGAAAATGGAGAAACCTAACCTTGTTTCTCCAGGATCCGCATCAATCCAGGACGCGAGGACACGTGGAGATAGTCACCACGGTGCTCTCTATAGCGAGACGCTTTCCTCCTGACTTTACCTCCAGCGAAAGGCTCAGGAGTCCCTCCATCTTCCTCCCTCAGGCCATGATCTTCATCTCCGCCGTCATCACCACGTGGCGAAGACTCGTCGTCGAACTTCGGCCCCATTTCCATTCCTCACGGCGGCGATGACTCGGAATCGGTTTCGCGTGTCTCAGATTCCTCTTGGTCTTGGAAAGAAAAAAATCTCGCAAGTGGGAGAGAGAGAGGACGTGGCTTCTACTGATTCGTCTAATCAGAAGATAACATCTCAGCCGTCAGATTTTAAAAGACTTTTTCTAAAAAACGACGTCGGTTAGAGGCTAGTTGATGGTTATTTAAAATTTTAATTATAAAAAAACGGCCGCGTCGTTTCAAAGCGTGGTCCACCGAATAAGAAGAGTTTAAAGTGAGTCCACTAGTCAAAATATCCTCACCCTATTTAACGTGGTCGTGACCACAGAGAATCATTACTTGTTCCTCTTCCTTCCACCACTCTTTGTTTCTTCATTTTTTTCCCCTAAGTCTTCGTTCTTCTTCTCCTGAAAAACGAGAAGAAATAGGCGAAAACCTCGCCGAATAGAAGATACGCGAAACCCGAAGGTATATTTTCCTTAGTTTTGTATGGATTAAACTTGGATCTATTTGATTAGAGAATTCTTACGGATTTGTAGGCTCTCTTAATCCGTTTGGGAATCTTTGTTTTTTTTTGTTAGATCGTAGGTTTTGGATATGGCGTCGAAGCGGATCTTGAAGGAATTGAAGGATCTGCAGAAGGATCCACCCACTTCATGTAGCGCAGGTGTTTATAATTTTTGTTTGGATTCAACGATTTATCTCATTTTTCATCGCGAAAAAAAAAGTTATGTTTCTCTGAGCTTGTGATGATCTTAGATTCGTTATACTGCTTGGATTTGTGTGTTTATGTGATTTTTGGTTTCGATCTGGAGCTAAAGTACTTACACTTGACCCATATGAATGATTCAAAACCTAACTCGCTAAGATCTGGTGACTTTTTCTCTGAGTAGAACAGAATTGGTATAGATCTTGTAATTATAGGTGTCAAACTCGCTCACTGTGTTACTTTCTAGAATCTGGTTAATATTTGTGAAGAAAATCCTTCTCTCTTTGTTTCAGAGTTCTTCGTGTTTGTGTAGTTTGATTAACTTGTTGATTTTGGTTTTTTGTGTTTTTGACAGGTCCTGTTGCTGAAGACATGTTTCATTGGCAGGCAACGATAATGGGTCCTTCAGACAGTCCTTACGCTGGAGGTGTTTTCCTTGTAACCATCCATTTTCCTCCAGATTACCCATTCAAGCCTCCTAAGGTGATTCCAAAAATTTCTGATAATAGCCATTAGTGCCTTGTTTTGCTTCTTCTTTGTGGGTTGCTTCGTTATCTCATTGTTTCTTCATATGGTGTGACGATATTATCTAGGTGGCCTTTAGGACGAAGGTTTTTCACCCCAACATTAACAGCAACGGAAGCATTTGCCTTGACATCTTGAAGGAGCAGTGGAGTCCCGCACTCACCATTTCCAAGGTTCAGTTTTTTATTTCTTATTTTCAAGTGAAACATTATGACCCAGTCTTAACAAACAATCTTCACTCGCCATTATCTACTCATGTCAAACATTCTTTTGCTCCCATTTGAAGTGTTAACATTGAGCTGTCTCTTAAATCATAAAGCTTGGTGACTCATTTAGGATGAAAATTGGTTTATTTCAGTGCTCTGCTCCTTTTGTGTTCTCCTTTTTCTCATAAGAAGTGATAACATTGAGCTGTCTCCTGTGTCATTAAGCTTTGACTCATCTAGTATGAAAATGTTGTTTTCAATAACCTGCTTCCTCTTTTGCTCATCTTTTCCCATGAGAAGTGATTACTTTAGACTCACTGAGGATGAAAAATGGTTTGTTTCAGTTACTAACTACGACTTTGCAATGAACAGGTGCTTTTATCGATCTGTTCGTTGTTAACCGATCCAAACCCGGATGATCCTTTGGTGCCTGAGATAGCTCATATGTACAAGACTGACAAGAACAAGTATGAGTCCACTGCACGGAGCTGGACTCAGAAGTATGCCATGGGCTAAAGAAAAGGATAAAAATCATCCCATCTACTAAATTATCTCCTTTATGAAAAAGAAAAAAAAATCTGCCGTAATTTCTATGTATGATTCAATAGACATCTCTCTGTGTTCCTTTAAATTTCTGAGGGCAGGACCAAATGAAGTGGGTCTTGCTTGAAACAAAACTAAAAAAAAACATCATCTTTGTGAAACTAAAAACTGAAAATCTTTCTGGTGTTTGGTCTTGTGGTGGAATTATGATTTGATGTTTTTGATGTGATATGTTATGTGCCACCAATCGTTCAATTGATCTGACTACCATAGACTTCAATTTTACTCTCTGCTCGTGATGGTTTTGATTTCTTTAATTAGAAAAAGGTTTTTTGTTCTAAATCACTGTAGTAGATTTCGTGGATTATAATTTAAAAGAAAAGTTGACAAACTAGATAACGGGAAAAATTGTCTTACTGAGATATACAGCAATGAGAACAGAGAAGTACCAAAAGCATGTTAAATGTTAGCATATCTTTGTTGCTTCAATAAGATAAAATGAGACCTAACATCTCCTTTCTTATTCAATTCAAGAACCATACGATTTTTTAGCTAAATTCAAGAACCATACGATGATGCTTGTATTCATGTGAGTTGTTCATGCATGTAAAGATGTACTTCTTTTCTTGATGAAAAGATCTCTTACATAATCTACTCATGTCACAAATTCTATCCAGAAAGCTCCACTGCTAGATTTTTTCTCAAAAGTGATTCCACTGCTAGATCTTTTCCTTAGCTATCATTTCTCGAGTTTTACTTGAACTCATATTAAAAAAAAAAAAAAAATATTCACGAGTTGGATCTTGAAACGGCCTTGGCCAATCCTGGGAACCACAGAGAAAACTTCTCATGATATTACTAGAGAACTTTTTATGGCTAAATCTGCAAAAGCCAATGCAAACTTGAGAATGTAATTTGCACATTCCATAGTTAAAGAATAGATATGCATATTTGGAATACTTGGGGATGATGTCTTGTCTTACTATACTTTTTCAAAAATTTAAGTTACATCATGGATCCTTTATAAAAGAGTGTCAATTTGAACTCAAAAGCTATGATTAAACCAAAAGATGAAACTTACTCTAAGACCGGTAGACATTAAACAAGAACATCGACTTATGTTTCCCAATCTTTTCTCCAGTGATTTTATATCTGACCTTATCTTGGTCTCATCTTTCCTTCGGGTTTTTAGGTTCCTTATCGCTACTTGATTCCTGTTGCTCTTGAGTTTCGGTGTCGGAAAAGTACCGATTGATTTGCTTCCATGTTTTTTATTCTTTTTTTGCCATGGAACCAAGAATTTTAGGTCGATCGATTGTTAACTCAATTTGTAACACCTAACATTTTATTTTAATGAATATTTACAATTTAGAAAAAAAAAAAGAATATTGCAGGATTATGAGTCCTTTATATTATCCAACATATTATAGGATTATGGGCTTGATTTCGAGATATCCATGGGCTATGACAATCCAAGAGATTCAAACCCAAATTATTTTTAAAAATGACAATTGTTTGCCTTTTTGGTTTATTGGTATAGCCATATATGATATAGGTGTTCCATGTTCCAATTTTGTTAAAATAAATTTTATTTTAATAAACTAACAGTGCACGGTTAAAGAGACCTTACAAAATTAACGATTCGTCGTCAAAAATGTCGGCTGCATTAACTTCCCCTACTCGATTTCTCATTTACTAAAACTAGTAAGCAGTAAATTCATTAATTGTTTTTTTGTCGACTCATTAATTTCTATTTAACAAACCAGATTTCATGATATTATTACTAGAGTCGTATTATTAGGATTTGAAACTCCTATATTTATTTATTTTTTAAGTAGTACTCTCCCCGTTTTACAAAAAGTGTCGTTTTGACATTTTTCACACAAATTAAGAAATAAGATAAAAAGTCTTTTATACCCTTATTAATTTGCAGAAAATGACTTTTGGAATTATATTTATAATTAATTTTCTGAATTTGTTGAGGTTAAAAATGGTATTTTATGTTAAAAATTATATTAAAATTCTAAAACGACATTTTTTTTGAAACAAAAAAAAAGTGTCAGAACGACACTTTTTGTGAAACGGAGGGAGTATTAGTCAGTAAGTAAGCGTTATATTTAACCTTTTCCTTTTTGATTAAAAGCAATTTCGTCAAATTGTATTAAGCTCTTTGTACATTTTTTTGTAATTTATTTGTTTATAAAAAAAAACATCAATAAGATTATACAGTGAGTAATATATATTGGTTTGGGCTTATCGAGGCTTCTTTCGAAGTCTAAGCCGAACGGTTCTATAGATTCCACTACTCAAGCACTATCTGAAAACATATTTTAAAAATTGTCGAAACTACTTAGTATGCTTTTTTTGTTTTTAACTTGATTTCATTTTTTCGGCAAATATAATTGACGTAAGATGGTCCACTGGCCACATGGAAATAGCAGCACCACAGAAGGTCTTTCTTTCCCTTGAGGTTTCACAATAGTTGCATTGAATAATTTTGTCTTTACTTAATAACTGTGCTGCATTATTATAAAATACTCCCTTTTTGAAGACCCTTTAACAACAAAAAAATAGTCCGTTTTAAATTTGCGCGAAATGTCATTAAACAAAAAAGAAGACTTCTTACTTCCCACTTGTATGGTTCTTAAAGAGAGAAAATAAAAAACATTTTGTAGTGTTAAAATCCCACTAGTGAATAGTGAATAGTGTTGTACGGGAAATGAAACTTTGTTTTGTAATGATGGATTTTATATTAATTTATAACACCACACCTTAAGTTTTCTTTCGTGTAACAAAAAACGGAAAATAAATTTAAAATTAACCCCCAAAAAATCAGCTTTTAAGAAAAAGGCAAAAATGAAAAATCGAGTCTCTTACACGGCCACTTCGAAGACGAACCGCTTTAAATAAAAATACACTGTCTAAAGAATCTAACCATTAATTTTTTACTTTCTGTATGACAATCGAACTTTGGTATAGTTTATTTAATTGTTCCGAACATGCAAAACCTTTTATCTGAAAGTTGAAAATCATATAATATATAAGAATTACAACTACACGTGTCAGTGATTAGACTAATCATAAATCTATGTCCAGAGTCTCCATAACTTGGATGATAAACGAATTTCTTATGTTAAGAGGGAGAGGTCGTGCCCAGAAGAGCATGGTCCTGAAAATAAGGTTTTATTAAACTATCTGTGTTAAAACTTAGGTTTAATCATAATTAAGTCTGAAAGAAAGAACATACAGCCTGAGATTTAGACAGTCTTCTAACACCAATCTCCCTTTTTGTTTCTAGTGAAACACAGAATCGTAAACTTGGTGGCCTCCACTAATTAATGTCATTAATGACGGTTAATTAATGTTAATTATTGCTATTAGTTAAGTTACTTATTGCAAAAGAACCGTTAGCTTGTTTATAACACTAGAAGAGCTGTTTTTACATTTTAATAAGTACTCATATTTTTTAGTATTCGTTAATATCTCATTTTGTTCAAAGCTGAAACCGTAGAAAAAATCATCCCATTCACATATACTAAAAGATTCTGTAAACCATGTTATGTACAAAAGCCTGTTGACAAAAAAATGATAAGTTAAACTACGATAAATACTTTTGTATCCTTTAATTTGGATGAAAATAATTGCCATCTATTTGATTTTGAGATGATGATTCTCAAATTAAAAACTGATATCATGGGTCTCTGTAATTAAATGTTTCATCAAAATTGAAAAATGATATCATGGGTGGGTTTCTGTAATTAAATGTTTCATTAAATCTTATAAAGATTATCAAATTGTTAATGGCATTATGTTATTTACAAAGTATAAAGCAAACATTAAAAAGGTGAAACTTTTTAGCCTAATTTCGCTTTAAAGATTAAAACGGTCTCCCTGGAGAAATTAGTCTTCATAAATTATTTAGCTGAGTTTATTATGTTGGCTTGCATGTTTAAAGGCAAACAAAAGAAGATGGCTTCACAATAATTCAGCCATTATTAGGGCTTTTCCATATCAGAAAATACAAATTCAATAAACTGATTAACCAAATTCCATAATAGTCTAACAACTTTCGCACAAAAATAAAAGTCTAGCTGTTGACAAAAAAAAAGTCTAAAGTTTTGTTTGTGGTAAAATTTTGTTTTGTATTTAATTGAGATGACAAAATTTGTTTTTAAAAAGATAGCACGAAAATCATATGTTTCTAGCTAGTTTGAAAGGAATATTGTGAAAGTTTTTAGATTCAAATGTTACTAGCTAGTTTATGGATAATATCCTATTATGGTTTTTTTGTGTTAGTGATTTAATGATTTTCTAGTTTCACTCGAATTCTGTTGTTATTTAAAAAAAAAATAGTTACTATTGATTTTTTAGTTTCTTAAGAGGAGTAATTCTAGTTCTTGATCATAAAATTTCTAAATCTCAAAATCTAAACATTTTCTGATCATCCAATAACTGTAAGAAGTAAAATGGAAATTATGAAATTGTAGCAAATACTCAAATTTCAATTGTTTTATAATAAAAGTCGCTTTATACTTTTACCAATATATAACGTTGCATCTTCAATGCATTCTAAATTTTCATGTTATTCTATACTATTAGTTATGGAGAAATAATATAGAGTTTTATTTCATTTTTTTGGGTAAAGGTTTTCAGTTTTATTTCATTTGAATTAGAAATAGTACTACTTTCTAAATTATGCATTTATGTTTGTGAGCTCCTAACAAAGTTTATGATTCAAACACCAGTAAATGTCTAATTAAGGACTGATTTATATAGATATTTAGTACCAAAATCTTATAAATTTAGAATTCAATGATAACGATAGCTAGTTTAATTGTTAATATTTTAAGTCAAAAGACTTTAATAATAATAAAATAATAAGCATATACAATATTCTCTTTTTCTATACCATATAACGTCTAATAATAATATCTAATATTAGTTTTACATCATATACTTTGCATAGAGTCACCCAAAAAAAATGATTATATTTTAATCAGGATAAGTTAAGATATTCAAATTATATACAATGTAACTTGTACATATGGGAGTTGGGATAATACGTAAAGTAGTAAACAGTAATAATAAGACCAACATCGCTTGCTTCTAAACCAAGACTGTCACTGAGAATGACTTAAGTGCTACTTTACTAACCATTATCTTACTTCTCCTCCAAGAAATGTATTTACACACATTCTCTACTAATTAACATTGGAAACCTCGATACTCTGACGTGTTTTTAA